ACAGTCGTGGCGAGCAGACTGCAAGGCATGGGTCAGGGTGTTCTTGGCCTGAAAATTAGCCATAATATCATGTATTTATGTTAGGTGTGACCAGCAAGTGACCCCATGACCTTCCACGCTAAAAATATGGTCACTGCAGGATGGGCAGAAGACAAAGGTTTATAAGTGTTCAGACAGGTATCTTCAGCTGCAACAAACCTTTCTCAGTTCTACCACTAGAAAAGACCAAAAGTGATGCTTTCACCTTGGCATATGCTGTAACTTTTCTTCCCTGGGGCTACAGAAGCAAAAGAAATTACATAGACCGCAGCTTTAAAGTTAAAACACATGAAAAAAAAATCACCAAAAGTGAAACCAGTTTTAACACATCAGAGACCTCCTTAGCGAAGCACTTCAACACAGTGCTCACTGTACGTGTCTTGTCCAGTAGTAATTTTGTTGTATTAGACAGCAGGCAATAATACTTATGAACTTCCAAAAGTGTTTTTTAAATGAAGCAATGCCCCAGTACATTTTGAAACCTTAGCACGTGCTCAGTAGTTAGCATTACCTTGATCTCTTCGTCCAGCTGCCTTTTAAGTTCTTCTATTTGCTGTGTAATTGCCTGCTTGCTTCTGGACACTTGCAACATTATGGTTTCTTTCTCTTCAAGTTGACGGCTTAGTTCACCTGTGACAAGAAAAGACAAGTTTCCAGTTCAGTCCAGATTAAGTAGCCTGAAAACATTCATATATAAATAATACTCAGTGACAGATAACTGGAACCACACAACATTGTTAATCTTACCAGTTGTTTACCTTTATGTATATAAATAATCTTATTTTACCTTTCTCATTGCACATATCCTTTTTACTAGGTCATCTTTACTCTTAGAATAATTCAGGTTTAGTAATGAAATTATGAGACAGATGTGTCTCCTCCCAAAACTTACCTATTCTGTCTCCTTCAACGTTATTGCTATTCTGCTTCAGTCATGAGTTTCACTCTTTATTCAGACTTTATTCAGACCTTCACATACACTTAACCCACAATTCTCTCAGCTTTAACTACTTCAGCACATAATACTTAGCTTCTCTACAGTTTCAAACCTTTTAATTTCTTGTTATCTGTTCCAAACTTCTTCTATACCAATATCCTTTTCTAAAAGAATATTAGAGAAACTGGCAATCCTTTCTCTAGGTCTAGATGTTTCTTCAAGTTGTATCACTCTTTCTATCTTGTTCTGTGTTTTTGTCCCATTTCATTTTACCATAACTTCTACTAAACACTTTAATACTCTCTTATGCTTTGCACAGGTTTAGTCCATTTCTTCTGCTCCCACCCCTGCTATCAATGTTCACTTGACCTTTCCTTTCTTCCAGAAAAGCATTTGTCTGCTCTGGAAACCTCCTCTTCTCTGTTCTTCATCTGCTGCGTTACTGTCAGTCTTTGGTCCTGCTTGTCCCTCATATGGAACTTTCCCCTATTTCCCTTTTCTCCTAAACCACTTCACAATACTTAGTATTTTGTACTGTCTCCACAACTGATTCCAGGTAGGTTTCCCTACTTTTTTCCACACAGGCATTTGCAATATTTAGTGTGGTGCATTTGAGCACCCAGTGCTACAAGGAACCTGATTTGTCATTGCTGCTGCCAGAGGACCAGTGCTACCCGTGCTCCATCAGGACTGGGGGACTGGCACGTGGCGTTTTGTCCTGCCCATACGTGAGCGATTCCCTGTTGCTTCTCAACTTACAGATTAATGTTAGTGCTGCTGATGCCATTGCTGTCTTATTTTGACTTAAGGCAGTCATCAAGGAGGCCATATAAAGACCCACTGATACATGTTTAACCTTGCTATGAGCTGGTGTAGCACAAAGGCTCATCCATTTACCTATTTCATTCCTACTTTATTAAATGTTTGCCGCAAATTCTAAAAGTGCCACAGTCCAACCCACAAGTGTACTTTCTTTCAGTGGCCCAAGACCTGCAACCATCTGTCTTACATCCCCTGGTGTAATTTCTTTCCACATAACATGACTACTTTCATCTGCAGTTCCTCTCTGTGCCGGGATGGTGGTAGCAGTCATTGTATATGCTGCTCTTCTTTTTTTCCATTCCTATATATCATCCCAAGACGTGTTTGCTCCTGACTCGCATTCTAAGTCTCCGTCACGTCCTGCAGATCAGCAGCTCTTTCTCAGGTTTGCAGCTTGACTTGTGTTTGCAAGCATCTAATCTTAGTTTCACATTTTTTATGATCAGGTGCCTTTGAAGCTCTCTATTGCTCTGGGGTGAAACGTTGCACAGGATACTTTAATCCTCAAAAATGCTTATGTCATTTTTCTATTTTTTTTTTTTAAATCCACATAATTCTCTAGTTACAGTTATACCCTTTATTACATTTTTTAGCCACTAGATAAAATCCTTTTTAGACAAATTGCTTCACAAAATTTGCTCGCTTGTTTCCTTTAAAACACAATTTTCATGCTGAAGCGCTGATTTTACACTGTCACACTGGCTCAACTGCCACTAAATGCTTTAGTAGCTTCCCATAATTAGCCCTGTGATAGAAGAGGTATATCCTAAAGTTTCACTTCACAAGCTTTACAATAACTGGAAAACTTTTATTCTGCATCACCCTCTTTCCTGTGGGCTCAAGTAACACCCCTCTCCTTTCTTGAAGAGGTGCCTGTAGCCCATGCTGTCATCTCTAAAATTCTTGTAGTCCTCCAGTACCATCTTTTGCAGACTTTTCCTGAGACATTTTAGATTTTTTCTTATTTTCAATTTCACTCTAAGATTCCCCTTGAATACTATGCCATTACAACAAACTGGTCAGATTTATAGAATCATCTTGAAAGCATGATCTCTTAATTGCTTAGAAGAAGAGATGATAAAATTTGGTTATTTTCTGTGTGTTCCCATATCACATTCTCCATTGAAAGGTTTTGTAAATTCCCTTTTCCCTGATAAGTGATGGAAAAGGGGGAGACACAGATCACAACCAATATTTATTTGAACATCTTTTATTAAGTTGCTATAATTATTAGCTTTGAGCTATTAATTCCAGGCAACACTGAACACAGTACATTCATGAGACCCTCAGGGGCTCCTGTTTTCATCACGTGCTTTGTATAATCGTCTAGTCTTTGCATGTGGCGGCCACCAACCTCCTGGATGTGATCCCAGTTATACAACCCATTGTTGATGCTGGTGTTTGCGAGTGGCCTTGGGCTGATTTGGCAGGTCTTGGTGTTCTGAGTTGGGCAGTTTTTAAAGATTCACCAGAACCACTAGACTCCAGAGATTACCAAATTTTAGGAGACTTTCACATGCAATGCCCTCCTTGATCTGCTGTTTCCTTGTAACTACCTCCATCCACAGACAGATGTGCCTGTAGAGCTCATTCACATAAACTCATATAAATTCATGGAAAAAGAATTTTCACGGCAGGTGTAGCCCCATGGCTCAGCTGCTAGAACTATATACACCAGCACTCCCTGATCTGATATTATGTAAAATCCCTAAAATTCAGAAGGTTAGTTTAAGCCAATTCAGTGGTGTTATAACTTGAGAAGTTTGACCTTGACACCAGCCAGACCAAGGAGCATTCACACCCATCACTTGCACTGTTCCAAGAAGTCTGCTTGGGAGCAGTAACAAGCTCCATGAGGGTAGCACACACACAGATACTGTCCACACAGTGAACATGTGCACTCTCGGAAAGTGCAAAGCTAAGAGGTTGTTCAAGCCACTTGGGTCTGTCCCAGATTCCCAGTCCCCCTACATGGAATCAGCAAGCTGTGTCACATCATTCTGGGAATTATTTACATAAGCAAATAATTGTTACAATTTGCATATGTCACTCATGAATACATGATTTATTTCTAATGTTGTCTATGAGTCAACATTTATTTCTCATGGTTGAACCAATGAGCCTGGAAGTAGAATAATCACCTTGGGAACAAATAGGTCTCACTTGTGGTACATGTTTAGAGGGTCTCTGCTACTGAAGGGAAAAAATATCCCCCTCAACAGAACTTCGTGCCCTCCTTACCTGATTCTGCCTGGAGCTGGGCTTTTTGCATCTCCATCTCATTCATACTTCTCTGTCTTTCCTCAAATTTGGCTTTCATATCTCTCATCTGGTCTTCCAGGGTGTGGTACATCTTTTCCAGATTAGCCTGAAAGACAGTAAGAAAGCGGAATCTGTGTATGTGTTTTTGTATTGCCTTTAATTCTCACTAGAGGGAAATAGTGCCAGTTCCACTATTTCACTTATCAAGAAACACCTTGGACTTAGTAATGGTCTCTGTACTCCTGGCCAGATCGTCAATCTCCATCTTCAGCTCACTCTTCTCCTTCTCCAGCTTCTGCTTCACCCGTTGCAGGTTGTCGATCTGCTCCCCAAGCTCCGCGGTGCTGTCCGCATGCTTCTTCCGCAGGGCGGCAGCCGTGGCCTTGTGCTGCAGCGTGGCCTCCTCCAGGTCACGGCGCAGCTTCTGAAATTCTGCCTCACGCTTCTTGTTAAGTTCGCTTCCAGCAGTGGTGGCTCCTCCAGTCTCTTCAAGTCTTTCACTGATTCCCTTGAGGTCACGAGCCAGCTCATCACAATGCTTCTCTGCTTTCGCCCGCACTGCTTTCTCACTCATAGTCTCCTCTTCCAGTTCTGCAACACGGGCCTGTGTAAGGAGGAAAGAGCACATCAGGAATGAGTAAGGGAACAGATCATTCAGTGCTTAGGTTAGTGCATAACTGTCACAGTATAATAACAAGCCCATATTTTGGAGACTATACACAAAACAAAGCTCCTTTGAATTTTACCGTTTATGCCATTGTAGGTGAATCGTGATCAACAGGAAAAGACCTATGGATCAACTCATGCTAACTTTAGATCACAACCCTCTGTCGTTGTTTCGGGTTTGCATGACAAGGGTTTGGCAGTGGGGGGGCTACAGAGGTGGCTTCTGTGAGAAGCTGATAGAAGTTTCCCCTATGTCCAATAAAAAACAATGATAGCTGGCTCCAAGATAGACCCGCTGCTGGCCAAAGCTGGGCCCACCAGTGACAGCAGCACTACCTCTGTGATAATATATTTAGGAAGTGTGGCGGGGTGAGGGGAGACTGCACGAGACCAACAGCAGCCAGAAGACAGGAGTGAGAAGATGTGAGAGAAACAACTCTGCAGACACCAAGGTCAGTGAGGAAGGCGCAGGAGGAGATGCTCCAGGCATTGGAGCAGAGATTTCCCTGCAAGCTGATGATGAGGACCGTGGTGAGACAGGTTGTCCCCATGCTCCATGGTGAAACAGACATCCACCTGCAGCCCATGCAGGATCTCATGCCAAAGCCAGTAGATGCTTGAAGAAGGCTCTGAGCCTGTGTGAAGCCCATGCAGGATCAAGCTCCTGGCATGACCTGTGGACCCATGGAGAGAGGAGCCCACACTGGAGCAAGTTTGCTGACAGGACATGTGACCATGAGGGGGACCCATATGTCTGTTCCTGAAGGACTACACCCTGTGGAAGGGATCCATGCTGGAGCAGTTTGTGAAGAACTGTAGCCCGTGTGAAGGAGTCACAGCATCCCCCTATAATGCTCAGGGGAAGGAGGTAGAGAAAGTCAGGAGTAAAGTTAAGCCTGAGAAGAAGGGAGGGGTGGAAGGAAAGAGTTTTAAGATTTGGTTTTACCCTACTCTGATTTGACTGGTAATAAATTAAACTAATTTCTCTTTTGCCTGTGATACTAATTGATGAATGATGCTGTCCTTATCTCGACTCACCCGCCTTCCATTACATTTTCTCTCCCCTGTGGAGCTGAGGAGGGGATAGAAGGGCTTTGGTGGGCACCTGGCATCACAGCTGTGTGCAGAAAACTATTACAACGTATCGAGGTAATTACTGTGCCAGGGTCAGAGATTTTGTTAGTGATCAAATGTGGACAAACATTATTCATGCTACTACAGTTTAAACAAACAAACAGTAATGATGAAATAGTTACAGAAAGTCTCTTGCCTGCAATTCTCTGATCTTCTTCTGCAATTGAATACCTGAATTCTGCTGTTCCTCAGTTTTATTTTGCATCTGGTTAAATTCAAAGTCCTTCCTGTGAAGCGAATATTCTTTTAATAAAAGGAAAATACATCCAGTCAAAAACAAATAGTAAATTTATCGCTATTTTTTTTCTCATACTTCCTTAATTTTTCATCTAAATGTTGTTTATCATTCCCCAGATCCACTATGGTTTCCTGGGCAAGTTTCAAGTCTCCCTCAAGCTTTCTCTTTGCTCGTTCAAGATCCATACAAACTTTTCTTTCCTGCTCTAAAGATCCTTCAACCTGTAAGATAAACATATGCAAACATGACAGAGGGAACAACTGAAGAAAGAACCTGCCCCTTCTCCTTGTGTTGAATATGCTCACATGGCTCACTTCTTGCTCCAGCTTGATCCTGACTTTGGTGAGGGTATTAACTTTGTCCTCCTCAATTTGCAGGTCATCCAGTGTCTGCTGGTGGGCTTCCTGTAGTGCCTTCTTCTCCTTGACCAACTTCATAATAGTCTTATTCAAACTTGTCACTTCTTCAGTCAGATTTTTAACCTATTGTAAGGCAAAACACTTGAAGACCATTAATAACTTCGACTTTCATATAGGTTAGTTAACACACAAACTCAATAAACTCATTGCTAGACTAACCAGGACACTTAGTTGCACTATATGGTCAAATTATACAATCCATTTGTTTACATATCAACCCTCCTGAAGTCACCAAGCAATACTGAACTTTACTTTTTAATGTATTTGTGCATGATCATGGTTGGTTTTCCTGCACAATAGAGGTGGCCAAATTTAACACTAGACCCATAGCCTTCTTTACACAACATCATGTTAGTGTTCAAGTTGACTGCACTTTTATATCCTATATATAGACAGAGCAACTACTGTTAAACATGCAAATAACAGAAGCAAAAAGTACCTTGTTTTCTGTAGCATGTTTCACCTTTTCAGCCTTGGCCAATGTTAGCTCAATGTCATCAATATCCTTCTTCAGCTCAGAACATTCATCTTCCACTTTCCTTTTTCTGGCTGCCAGATCAGCATTTATCTCCTCTTCATCTTCCAGTTTTTCCATTATGTCCTTTATTCTTGCTTCCAGATGGAATTTTGCTTTGATCAGCTGGTCACATCTTTCTTCAGCATCAGCCAAATTTTCATTTTCCTTTTAACAGAAAACAGAAACATGTTTCATTGTCACACGTTGGAACTGACACTTGCAGAAATCACCTGCTCATTATTCAATTGGAACACAAAATAACAGAATTTCCATTCATCTCTTTCCTGAACACTCAGACAAAACTTACGTAATCTGAGGAGCCAAAATGGTTTTAAATTACGTACAGTCTGTACTTGCAGCTGCAGGTCCTTCTTCTCTCGCACTAGAATCACCATTTTTTTTTCCAGTTCTTTCCTCTTGGTTTCTGATTTAGCCAGTTCTTCTTTTGTTTGCTCAAACTCTTTCTTCAACATGGCCATTTCTTTCTCAGTTCCCACACTTTTTAAGAGGGGTTTTATCTTGAAGTACAATTTCATCCAGGGCCAATGCTTGACATTCATGAATGCACGGATGTTGTACTGAATGCAGAAGATGGACTCCCTGAAACCAAAACAATCCATCAGTACTGTGGAAAATGCACATCTTTGAGAAACAAGACCTCGCAGAAAAAACAGACCTTCGGTCAAACATTCTTTTCAATTCAAGTCTCCTGAGGTATCCCCTGCATAAAGCCTGTGTCTGCATGATCAGTTGTCCTAAGCAATCATCTCGCATCTCTTCCAGGACACCTAGCAAACCTGCCTTGAAGAACACCTGCAACCAAAGAACAGAAATCAGTCATCACTGGGCTTGTATTTTAATGCAATGAATCATTTTCCACTGTGTGGAAAAATTAAATGTTTACCTTAGTGTGTCCAAATTTGTACTGAGTATGATCTATCTCAATGGAAGACAGCAACTTTTCACATGCCTTCTTGCTGTCAATAAACTGTCCTTCTGGAATGACACCAGCATTCAGAAGGCGGTATCTGACAAAATAAAGGAAAAATCCTTAACTGTCAGTCTCATTTTAGTGCACAGGATGCTATGAGAACAGCTGTCACTTTGAAGATACAGAGGAAGGCTGAGTCCAACTCACACCTTCAGCCTTAAACAGCAAATCAGCAATAAGCAGGCCAGCTCAGTAGGTTCCCAGCATGTCTTAACAGCCCTCACCGAGACTGAGGGAATGGATGGTCTGTTCTCTGGACTTAAGAGACTCTGCTCATCTGTGTCATGCTGACTGAGGTGGCCAGCTCACCGGGTTACCCATAATTAAAAAAAATAATGCATTTTAAGAACAGAGAGACTGCTGCAATTATCTCTTCTGACCTCCTGTATAACACAGGCACACAGTCCTCCCACTGTGTTGTTCATCCAGCCCCCATCTTGTAATTAATATAGTATTTAAAAAAAAAAAAAAAAAAAAAGTCCATCCTAATTGAAGACTTCAAACTTTGAGAGTGTCCCAGGTATGCTATTCACCCTCCACTGTAGAAAAGCTATACTTCACTTCTACCCTGACAACATCCATTTTCAGGTCCCAACCTTGGTCTCTTGCTTTCTTTAAGTCAGTCTTTCAGAGAACAGACTGCTGCATATTCAGAAATCTTTACACCTGTAGGTTCTCTACACCAGACAAATAATACATTGACACATAGTTTCATGGGTTAAATAATTTGGTGTTAAATACTTTGATCTCTCACTGCACTTGAGTTCACATTTATCCTGTAGCTCTTTTCTGAACCATATCCAGCTTCTTGCATTCCTCCCAAAGTATGTAAACCAGAACTGCACATAGTATCTAACAATGGACTTCCTAATCCGATGTGGAGAGATCATTCCACTCCCTATTCTTCTTGGCATCTCTCTGTATACCTATACACAAATCTGCCCACCCACATCACTGCCTTGGGAAGTCTTCAGTTATTGCCTGGAATGCCACTTCTGCCTTTTCCAGTGTCCCTGCTCTCCAGGCTGCCCTGTTCAGTGCTTTAAGTGTCGTGTTTTTGCTTTGTTCTTCGAGAACTGACTCCACATTTGTCTTTGTTCAAATGCAACAAGCAGATGACCCCAGCTGGGTTGCCCTAAATTTAGCGAACCTTCATGAATGTCTTATTTGCATGGCAGTTCCTGAGACAAAATTGTTTGGTTGTGGAGGTTTTATCTATAAATTAATTCTATAAAATCATATAAATTAATATATTAATAATAATTAATTAATATAAATTATCCCTGTACAAAATGAGAGTGGCACGTGCAACTAATTTAGATGTCATGCTGAAATCTGTTAATGTAGCTATATTTGCCAGTCAAGCTTGTAATTTCATCAAAAAAAGTGGTATCAGGTTTAATACTATTTTCCTTCAATAAAAGCATTCTAGTTAGAATTATTTAAACAACATTACTTAAACTTCTATGAGATAGTGGTTAAATATAGGATGTGGTACAGACAACGCTCCATATTTTTGATGAAACACGCTTGTGTCAAATTTGAGAAGCTAAGTAAATAATGCCAAAACATTGAGATGAACATGAATGAAGTTAAAATAGGTTTTGGCATACAGTATTCAGAAAGGCATTTGTGTGGGCACTGCCCACACAGATCCTGCTGTTAGATGTATTTTCATGCTTCCCATAGTTGTTAAATATTAAAATAGCCTTTTCCTGAGAACTATATCACTGACTTGTTTAGCAAAACTCTTCTCTCAAATGAACTGGGCTTGAAGCAAACACAAAAATGTTATTACAGACCTTTGTGTAAAATCCCCATATAGTATCTTGTTTGGAAATCCCTTCCTGCAGATTCGAATGCCTTCCAGAACACCATTACATCTCAGCTGGTGCAGAACAAGTTTGTGATCCATCAGGCCTATGACAGAATGATATGGGGATATGCTGATTTTTCTACCATGGGTCAACTGGTCTTTCTGCCAATTTCTCATTTACGCTTTATGAACTACCTGGGGTCTTTGTTTCATTGGGAATGATACAACGCACAAAATGAGGATGAGTTGTTCGCAAGTTGGACATCAGCTTATTTAGATTTTCCTGTAAAGAAAGAGCTCATTCACAATTTCTGTAATTACTTCATGACAGAACACAAATATTCTCAGTATCATTTGACTCTAATGAAAATCCAAGTTCTTTCTTACTCTTCTAGTGAATATTCTACAATCCTGTACATGTATCAGCAAAGTAAAGAGCAACTAACAGTGGATACAAGTCATAGACTTTCTTTCTGTCTTAAAATGAAAATGTGTTCTTCGTGCTTAGAAGCTAATCATAAGAGCTACTAAACAGGACAAGGATGAAGAGAAATGAACAATATTCTGAGATACCAGCAATGATCTTTCTTCATCAAAAAAAGCTTTTGATGAAATTAATGAATGGGTTGATTTGTTGGTTTTATTACTTAGATATATTATTTATGTATATTTAAATGAGAATTTAGCCACAAAATCAATGTTTTGCGTATGACATCAGAAGTCACGTGCTCTGCAGGACAGGTTTTTTTAACATTGCATTTCTTTAATCGTCTCATGCAATACATTGCATATTGTATATGCAAGACATAATCTGAGTATGGCCCCTGTCACAGCTAGGTGGATGCCACACTCCTCATCCGGCCAGGAAGAGCTGAGCCTGTTCCTGACCCAAGATACAGGTGAGTCACAGCAGCATTAAGGCGCTGTAACGTGCCATTTGCGTTGCCCACACTGACTGCAAGGCACCAGTTACCACACTATACCATGTAGTCAGAGAGACACATCATGGAAGAAGCCAGTTACAGCCAAACAAGGAAAGGATGTTGCCAGCACCAAAGGTCAAAGCCAAGACAGCCTTTGGGCTGCCTTGAAACTGTGCCACCTGATCAAAACATGTGACTTCCCTTCTCCATCATCATCCCATTGGACTCCATCAGCAAAGCAGAAATCAAAATAACCTTTCCCAGATGCCAAAGGTAACTTTCCACAGTTTCATATGGCAACAGAGAGAGTGGGCATGATGCATAGGATGGCGCTCTCAGCGTTTTCTGCAGCTGGCCCATGCTGGGCTAGAGAACACACCTACCCGAAAGAGTACAGAGAGAGTTTGGAAGGCAGAGCCCTTTTTCTTGGTTCCTTTCTTCTTAATACCACCACCTTCAGCTGGAAAATGAGATGACAGTCCAACTGAGGTACTGCTGTAGATCCCTTTGACAGCATTATAATTGTGCATCTAATACACAGAGCACGAATACTGACTCAACACTGGCTCAAGTCAGGTAATAGCTACAACTGGAAACTCCAAACAGGAGACATAATCCTCTGATCTTACCTTCATCTATTGAACCAAAGCTGGCATAAAGATTGCATAAGATTTTCATAGATGATTTCTGATACAGCCCCACAACAGTTTCATTCAAGGGATCCTTATTTTTCTCCAGCCACCCAGTGATGTTGTAGTCCACTGTGCCAGCATAGTGCACCAGGGAGAAGTGGGCCTCAGCCTTGCCTTTGCCAGGCTTGGGCTTCTGGAAGTTGTTGGACTTGCCCAGATGCTGGTCATAGAGCTTGTTCTTGAAAGAGGTGTCAGTTGCCTTGGGGACCATGCACTCCTCTTCCAGGATGGAGAAGATGCCCATGGGCTGAATGGAAAGATATTTTCAAGTAAGATGGATTCAAGTTATTATAACATGGAGTGAAAGAAATGCTAAAATTATATTACTGGGGCTATCTTACAGAGAATTAGCTTGAGACGATCAGGTAAGCAAGATTTTTTGTGAACAGTTGGCAAGATATTCAAAAGCACTAGATTTTCATAAACCAGGTTTTTAACTACTCAGCCACTGGCTGGAAAACAAAGCAAGCCAAACAAAAAATGTGCAGCAACTTCTTGGAATACAGTAGTTACTTCTTATCCAGAAGGAGCAAAAAGCACGATGATGTGGAAGAAAGACAGAATAGAGAAATAAAAGCAATGATTTTTTAGAAGGCAGAATATATTTCTAGTTAGTGGATAGTAAACCACATGTGTTATGTTTAAGGGAAGGGAATGGGTAAGGAGACCTGGATGCTTCACAGAAAGACTGTATTGAAGGCACCTAGTGCAAACACTCTCGAGAACCCCTTCCAGGTCTCATTTCTGCGATTGCACAAGCTCCATAGGAAACTCACCTTTTCTATAAGCTCAATGCAGGCAGCCAGGTCCATTCCAAAGTCAATGAACTCCCATTCAATTCCTTCCTTCTTGTACTCCTCCTGCTCCAGCACGAACATGTGGTGGTTGAAGAACTGTTGCAGTTTCTCATTGGTGAAGTTGATGCACAGTTGCTCCAGGCTGTTGAACTAATATTTGAGTAAATGTGTTAATATTGTTAAACTAACTTCAATCAATTTATTTTGTAGACAATTCAAGGCAAGGTCGGTCAGACTGGCCCCAAAGGGTTTTGAAAATAGTGCAAAGGATATATCATGGGTGGTCCAGGCTTACAGAAAGGTGGTTCTGTGATACACGTCGGATGCAGCCTGAATTGGTGATGGTTTTGGGTGACCCTAATGGGACTAAACACAGATTCTATGGGTAGGGAGACAGAAGCTTAATGGCTATGCTTCTGCTGTTTATTTTCTCTTACAAAGTTGGTGATGGATCTACAAAGGCAGAAGCAGCTTCAGAAAGATTTGCCCCACTCTTTGCATTGGGTCTGCATTGGGGTGAGAAGGAGGGAAGGTCATAGCAGTCAAACAAAAGGAAAAAAGTGTTTAAAGGCCGCCCGAAGTCTGAGAGTGCTATGCAAAGCCAAACCTCAAAAATCTCAAAGCCAGCAATGTCTAAGACCCCGATGAAGTGCTGTCTTGGCAGCTTTGTATCCAGTTGTTGGTTGATGCGCACCACCATCCACAAGAAGAGTTTTTCATAAACTGACTTAGAAATGGCATTCACTGCCTGGTGCACCTGCAGGGAGATGGTTCACACAGCTCCATCAGGGCACTGCCCGTGCATCACCAGAACAAAACACCCCTCCACCATGCACAGACACTGGCAGCCCATAAAGTGTGCTACAGCCTTAATGGTCTTGGCCACCCTCAGCTCTGACCTGCACCCACCCCTGTCCCTTAGGACAACAACGGTCCCTGCTGCTCCCTGACACTCACCTGATCCACTGTTTGGCCCTTCATGACATACTCATTTCCCACTTTCACCCGGGGGTAGCACAAAGCCTTCAGCAAGTCTGCTGAGTTCAGGCCCATCAGGTATGCTGCTTTGTCAGCCTCTGTCAAACAAACAAAAAAAAGAAATACTTTCTTCTTAGCCAGGGCAGGCAGACTGCACTGGAGCCAGCCAGAGCTCATTCTGAAACCTGGAAAACGGGTTGGCTTTATCCTGCCCACAAAGCTTGACCAATGCTCTCATTTACTTTTCCAAACAGCCTCATAGGGCTGGTCCTCATGATGTAGTGGCTACAGCGGTCCCAACAGGTGCGGTATAACCCATGATTGCATTGGTGACAGGACAAGAGAGTGGTTTTCTCTTCAAGCCACTTCTCCACAATGTCACCCAAGCAGAACGTCTGGATATGTTACCAGAAACTGGTGAACACAGCATTAACGTGTCACAGGCACAAGGTCCTGCAGCAGACCCAACAGGAATAAAGTAGATGCAGAAAGTGACTCTACAGGAGGTGGTGAGTTGAAGGTTGAATTTCCTTTTTATGTTCATCAAGGAACAACTGCTTCTTTCCTGGAAGACTCCTTGCCTTTCTAGTGAAAAATGGTATGAAAACAGTTGAAAATATGTCTCTCTAAGCCATGAAGGTATTACCTTCTGTGCCATCCGGCTCTGCCTGCTCCTCACGTGGTCTCTGCTTGAACTTCATCTTCCCATAGTGCAGGATTGTCCCTGTCAGTTTGTAAATCCCCATTCTCTCACTGGGGCTGAAGCCCAAAATGTCAATGGCTGCCTGCACACCAGATAGATCAGCTGATTATAATGATAGTGATGGTAAAACTGGTACTGCCTCTCCTTGCTAAATGTACTCACATCTGTGGCAACAAGCTCCTCCTGGTCATCAATGCTGGCCACAGAAATCTCCCCTTGGCTGATGAAGGGGTAATCATATGGGTTGGTTGTGATGAGGAGCATCTCTGAAAGGCAAACAAAGGAGTGAGAGCTAGATCCTGGTAGTGAAAATGGAACAACAGCTCAACAAGTCTCCACAGGTTCTTTTTCCTGTTGCACCCCCAAAACCATTCATGTGCCTTCCACTGGATGAGCAGAAAGTAAGTCCTGGGCAGCTTCTCAGTCCTACCAGTGTAATATGGAGTGTAGCGGGAGCTGAACAGACAAGGAACTAGGGCCATCCAAAGAAACAGCTTTTGAGAAAGATACTTTTGGGTAAGACTCGTATACTCTTATCCTCGTACATGACATACAGGAACATCCCGAATGCCCCTTGCACACCCTGGGGTTGTGTGCTGGTGCACGTCAGTAATACAAATATGTGTATTTATCTCCATCTAATTGAGGCCAGAATTCACAACTCATTTTCAGTCCTGAATCCTATGGCAGAGCAAGAGGAGAAGTGAAGGTGTGAAGGTGTGCAGATGTGGTGGGGCTGTGCAGCGTGCAGCAGGCGAAGCCCTCCATATGCTGAAGATAAACCAGTCTGTGTCCTCGTACAGCTATGCAGTCCCCCGGCACACAGCAGTGTCTCTGGAAGGGAAGAGGGATGTGCTAAATGTCAGGAGGGCACGTGATGGGAGGATGGGGGTAGAAGCTCCACCTTGAGAAATGTTCTGTGGGTAGTTGGAAGGGATGGCCACAGTGGAGTGAGGATGAATGCAGTAGTTGAGTGAGTGGCAAAAGGGTTTGGGACACGTGTGGGGCATGGGTAGGGTATGCCATGGAAGTGGGAAGGGGGAGAAGGCTGGAGAGGCTGTACTGGAAACGCAGAAGAACTTTTGGCCATATGATGAAGAGTTCAGATAGATGGTTTCTAGACCAGGGTATCTCATCACCTTGCACCCAGGGAATTTCTTCTGTTGAAGATTATTCATAGGATGTGGCCCATGAAAGTTGAAATTTCCACACCAGCAAGAACCACAAGTCATAAGGCAGAGTAGATTAGTCGCCCCAAACCTCACCTGCACATAGTTTGCATTAGACCTTACCCAGGGAAGATTAACTGGAGGTGGAGTCAACCCCTAGTGACCTCGTTATGCAGAGATACACGTGCTGTGCACAGCTTTAGTAACCCAGTCATCCTCCGTGCACATAATCAGAGCTTCAGTGCTTTGCACAGCCTGGGGCACCTGCTGAAGGGGGAACCTGGGTGCTTCTGACACACAATGCTGGGCCACCAGGTGCCACTGGACCCTCTGTCACTGAGCTGGCATATTTAGGGAGAAGTTTTCCATTCTGATTTTACTGTGAAATGTCACCAGGTGATGGCTGTCCTTACCAAGCAGTTCAGGCTTCTTATTTGAGAGGATCTGGTAGAAGATGTGGTAGCTTCTCTCAGCCTTCAGCTGGAAAGTGACTCTTGACTTTTCCAGCAAGTCTGTAATATGTATGCACAGGTAAATTTTTTCAAGCTCTTCTTTATAGTCAAGCAGTAAGCCCATCTCATTTACTCACAGGTCTCAATGTCACCAGAGGCCAGTTTTCCAGAGGTACCAAAATGAATACGAATGAATTTACCCTGACAAGCAGACAAAAGGCAGTGGTCAGTGCAGCATTCTCAGGGCAACAGGCCAGAGTGTTTCTCTTTCTTGAATCTCAATGACAGCATCTCCAAATAAGTTTGAACTATCTTAGATATTCAAAGACAAATAAAGGGGAACAATTTGTGCAGCCCATGCAGCTATGAGCATGAAACAGCTGTAAACATATCAGCATGTGACAAACAACCAAGAAATATTTCAGCAAGAACGTTTCTCCCAGCCCAGTGGCCCCCAGTTGAGAGCAACAAGCAGGCAAACAGGATTAGAAGTGCAGGAGGGCAGGGAGAGACACAGAAGCACTCACAAAGCGCGAGGAGTTGTCGTTTCTCACAGTCTTGGCATTCCCAAAAGCCTCCAGCAGTGGGTTCGTGCTGATGATTTGATCCTCAAGTGTACCCTGCAAGAATATTTGAATATTTACTGAAACCCACCATGGGCTATGTGGTAGGAAAACATGGCTATCCCTGTGACTCGCCTCATTACATGTGCAACCATGTGCCCTTCATTTCAGCTGGACAGTGTTACTACAGGATCTTCTTGACCACAGCACCAAGAACCAGCACTGTGTGTAAAGGGCAAATAACCCATTTTTTCTCTTATTCAGAATTTCTCCCACAGTCAGAGCTCTCATCTCTCAGTCACAGGGTCAGACTGGTCCGTGTGAATAAACTGGAGCTTCTGATTCTTCCTGGACACCAATCCCCTAGACCTGGTTTCAGTCTGGGTGAAGCTACACCTGGGCAGTAACAGTGGCAGCTTTGGTGGCTTCTGTTTGTTGTGGTCCTAATTGCATATCATCCCTAGGCCTTACTGCCTTTCCAGAGAGGGGCTGAAGCTAATAAAAGATATTTTCTGTTTTGAGGTAGCTGTTTGTAACCAGTGCTGTCTGCAGCCATAAGCTACTAGCATCCTGAACTGCCCTTCTGCCAAGCTTTTCCTCCTCACACCTTCACCCAGGACTCCTTCTTCTTGGCCAGGTCCCCGCTGGCTGCAATTGTTGCAAAGTACTGGATGACACGCTTTGTGTTCACAGTCTTCCCTGCGCCGGACTCTCCGCTGTTGAGGAATAGCACAGAGCAAATAATTATCTGCCTACTTTTTGTTGGAGGCAAAGTCCAAGGTGACAGGTGCACTTACGTGATTAGGATAGACTGGTTTTCACGATCTGTCAAAGGGAAAAATAACTGCAGTCAGAGAAGCTGGAGTGAAAAGTGTTGGTTCTCAGTTAACCTGTGGAAGAAAAACAGACTGCATGCAAAATGAAAAAGATGCATGGTCTTTCTCTTCTCTCTTCCCCTGCCTGTACTCCACACTTTCTGTCTTCTCCTTTTCTCCATCCTACACTCTCCTCTTTGCTTCTGTCTTCACCATTGTTTACCTTTATTACTGTTTAACATGGGACAGGACTTTATTCAAACCAAACCCATGTATTCTGGTGAAAATATTCCTTCAAGCTCTGTTCTGAACCTACCTGCTATTGCTTGAAGCCACATGCTGATGTCCTGACTAGGGACTTCCCAGACAGTGTGTCCTACCCAACTCCAACTGCTCGTTGCACTGGTTCCTATTATCGTGCTTAGCTTAGTATTTAGACCAGAAATACAATGTTCAGTGCACAGCACTTCAAAGTTAAAAAACCCATTGCAGGAGACATAGAACACTGTCTGGAGTTGGTTCTGCATCACACAGTGATAAAACAGGCAGATCTAATTCCACAGTACGATAGTTGGGAGCCCAAGCAGATAATCTGCAACATGACACAGAACAAGGAGCTGGAGTTGCACACTGTGAACTGAGCCCCTGGCAGGTAAGAAATGGCCTTGGGCAGAAGCAGGGTTTCTGACACAGTTTTTTTTTCTATGAGTCTGGTCAAAATAGAAAAGCTCACCAGTCAGCATGAACTGATAGGCGTTGTCAGAGATGGAGAAGATGTGTGGAGGGGCCTCCTGGCGCTTCTTGCCTCGGTAGGCCAACACCACCTCCGGGTTGTACACCGGCAGCCACTTGTAGGGGTTGACGGTGACACAGAAGAGACCCGAGTAGGTCTGCAGGAAAAAAACAGAACAGAAGAGTCACTGAAGTCCCTCTCCAGGCAGCTGGATTTTCTCCTTTGCCATGAGAGGGAACTTACATATATCATCCAGGAGCTGTAGCGGTCTTTGAGGTTGTAGAGGACGGCAGGTTCATGCAGGTGGGTCAACATGGCCACATCCTCAATTCTGTCAAACTTAGGTGGGTTCATGGCATATACATCATCAGGTTTGACAGCAACTGTCTATAATTCAGAAAGAGTTAACCTTGATTCAGCAACTCTCAATGCTCCTTCCATGTGTACACACAGAGACACAAACACAGAGAAGCAAGAAGACCTGTAAGGCTGCCCTAATTAATATTTTTCTTTCTGTTTAACTCTGCCAAACAAGATATTGCTGTTACAGGGTAGACACTGCTGCCAGCCAGAAACTCTACAACACTGGCAAATTTACAGGATTTAAATCTACTGTCCTGGAATTGCTACAACCACACAGGCAGGATTTATGCTGGAGCTGCTCGTGGTTGTAATAGCCAGGGTCACAACTGCTGGTCTGAGTACCTTGCAGCCTCCAAGACACACTTCACAGTGCCAGAGGGACAGGACACAGCTAAAGATTCAGCAATAGCAAATCCTTCCTTGGAACAGGCTTGCTCCACTCCCGCCTGTTCCATTCCTGATTAAACAAAGGCTCTGGCTCTGCCAAACAGCACTGTCTACCGGGCTCACATCGTGGGTGACCGTCCAGTCACACAGCCAGAGCCTGTGGGGTCAGGGGGACACAGGAAAGCAGAGTTACACAGATGGCAGCAGCTTATCTCAGCCACACAGAATCATGAAGGAGCATGAAAATGCTGTTGTCATTTCTCCAGATGTTTTTTCCCCCCATTACTTTTATCCTGTAATTGCTGCTCCCATGCAACAGTCCAAACTGACTACTCCAGTCCAATTAGTGCTACTGCAATCACATTGATTTGGAAAGACTGAACAGTATTTCCAAGCTCAGGTCCTGACTAGAGGAATGATCTTGGACTTCTTTTGAGAAAGCAAGAATTACAGGCACAGTTTCCAAAAGCAACTTTGTGATAGGTGTCACTAAATATCTTTTGAACACTTGAGCCATTAGGATTCATGGAAAGTCTCCATATAGAAGAAGAGATCACGCATTAACTGCTACTCACAGCACATACCTGCCAGTCACTAGAAAGGTTTCTAACCTAACACCAGTTCAGTGCTCAGAAGAGGGCAGGAAGCTCTAAAATACTAGGAATTATTAAGAGAGAAAGGGAGAAGAGAGTGTTGTGTACGATGTGTTCATCAGTTCATTCACATCTTTATTACTGATCACACCTCTTAGGATATAGTTGTACTAGAAATGCTCCAGAGAAGAGAAACAAAGATGGACACAGGTATTGGGATCTGGGGGTGAAAGGGAGACACTTTTGAAGTCTGCAGAATTAGGAATAGCAGAGAGAACCATGGCCATAGCAAGGAAGAATTACTCTAATTTTTTTGTGAAAAAAGCTGAAATTACCAGCTGCATATAGCAGAGAAAAGGAGCATTTTACACATACTCCAATTTTAAACTGTGGAAATCTTTCCTACAGGACACTAGAGAGGCAAAAAGCTCAAAGGGATATTAAAAAAACAAGCAGGTCCTTGTACACAATAGCCTGCTGCAGCCTCTGCTCACTCACATACCAGGGACTGCTGGAGCCTGGGGTGAATCAATGGACAACTGCTTTATGCTTTGTTTTCTTTAAAATCTCATACACCCACTGCCAAGACGTTGGTTGAGGTGGTTCTGTGGCTGCTGCAACTGTTCTTACAAAAGCTACGAGGACACAAACTGCTATGACATTTCAGTGGTTTTGGAAGATTAACACCTTGGACGCTTCCCAGGAAACTGTTCACAGCCAGAGATACTGATAATAATTCCACATGCAAAGGGGACTTTCAAAGGAGCTACCTGCTCTGCTACCAGTAAAGGAAGGGATTTATCAGTGGATATGACACTGTTAGGTAAAAACAGCCCTTGAGGAACACCAAGACTGGCAAGGCTACAACCCAACCTGATTCAGAGAACTGGTTGATCTTTAAAGCCTAAACCAAGAAAAATTATCCAGTGGTCACCTTCACCCCAGCATCAGAGCAATACTTTCCTCTGGCAGCTGTGCTGCTCCCAGGCAGCGGGAAGGCCTGCGCCAGGCAAACGTCTTGCTGAGGTAGTCTAGTGCTTTCTCTGTTCCTTGCCCTCCCTAGCAGACATCCCAGGGCAGGGAGGAGGGACAGGAGGAAGGTACTTACTCTGCCATCCTCTGTCTCCACAGTTATCTTCCCATCCTGCGCAGTCTTGATCTTCCCTTTGGTGTACTCCACCTCGGGGTCAGCCACGAAGCAGTAGGTCTTGGCATCGAACGGCTGGTTCTGGGCTTCTATTCTCTCCTTCTCCGGCCTGCGCAGGTACGGCGCCGCCTCACCAAACACCTCCATGCCAGCATCTCTGCTCATGGCTGATGCTGGAAGTCCCCTGGGCAGTCCTGGGAGTCAAGCAGAGTGGAGCTGAACCACGATCATCCCTCCCAAGCCGGTTGCTCTGGTGACACCCTTCCCACCTCTTGGATGCGTGCCGCAAGGTGTTCAGGGAGATATTTGCCTCTCAGAGCTGGAATGTACCAAAGCAATGAAGAAAAGATGGCACCCTTCATAGCCCCAAGGAAGGGGATCCATGCCTGAAGGAGCAGGATGGCTCCCTGGGGAAGTGAGGCAAAGGGGATGGATCTCTGAAGGATTCACATAGCCCTTAGTAAGACTGAAGCCTGTTTTTTTTTTTTCCATTTCTCCATGTATTATTTCTCCAACACCCTTTTAAGATGGAGCCTGTCCTAGAACTCTGGTGGGCAGCCATAGCAGGCAGGAACGGACATGTGCCATGGTCTGTTAGAGCAGCTCATGCAGGGAGAAGAACGAGGACCTGCCCGCAGCAAGCACAAGGGACAAGCCAGGTCACGCCAGGCTGGGCAAGCTATTAGTTCCCATGCTCTAAATTCTCACCTTAACAATCAGTTGACAGAAAGAAGGAAGGAATGGGCTGGCATCTCTGATCTCTGAAAAAGAAAGAGTGGAGGGTCAGACTCTATGCTACAGCCTCTCTGAAGGCCCAATACCTCTCATTTACTTACAGCAAGCAACCACTCCGGCTGAGGACAGTGAAGTAAAACGCAGGTACCAGTCCTTCCCTACCCAAGGAATGGCCCAGTGGGGAATCTACAGCAGATTTCCCAGCACAGTGCTACTGCCTTGTGAAGCTCCATGCACGAGGAACAGCAGCTCTGGCACCTCCACCCCTCTGTGGGTCAGTCACAGCACGGCCACAAGCGTTGCCAGGGGTGAGGAGCCACCAACAAGGGTTTTGTCCCTGCCAGCTTTATAGGCTCAGCCCCTTCCCTTAGCTCGGCCTCTTCCCTATATTTGGAAGGAAGGGATCAACACTCCTGACTGCTCACCAATTCATTTCATTTTCTGCCATATACAGTATATAAAGAAAGGAGCCACTTTTTTTTTTCCAATTTTAGTAACTGTGGGACCTTACTGTGGATTGTAGACTCTTTGTTGTGAGAATTATCTCTACTGGGAATGTGCTCTCCTGCCAGCTGTGACCACGGGCGGCACTTTACTCATACTTATGCTCACCTACATGTCAAAGAAACAAAGGTCCAGAAGGGACCTGCCCCACTGCTCCTGGACATGGGATACCTGGGCATAGTTGCATGGTGGCAAGTGAATGCAAAGCAGCTACCTGTGGGGTGAAGCACAAGGCCATGGGAAGGGAAAAGGTGATGGAGATTCATGTAGGATCAGTTATGGCAATTCTTGTGGCTTCCCATCACTGCATGGGTCAGGGTGGACAGGAGGAGAGGTCGTGACTGAAGTAGGATGTGACAAGCCAGGGCAAAACAGAAGCTCATCAGAAAGAACACTCCCCAAATCTAGGCAGGGATGGGCACTTCATGAATGTCAAACCCTGAGTACGCAACAGAAATTTAGCTTCAAATACTGCTTTGACTGCCTGGGATGTCCACCACCCTTGCAGCCAAAAGGAGCTGCTGAAGCCATGTCACACTGTGCTATCAGGTTCTTAGACACAGTTGACTGCAGCTCCCAGGTGAGAAGGTGTTGTGGTTTGAGGCTTGGAATGGGGGCGTGACCTTCCAGCAACTGGGAGGACCCCGGGTGGGGGTGAAACCATTGTATTCCCTCCCCTTCCCACACACACTCTGATAAGAGGCAGGGAGTGGTTTTTTGTTTCACTCCTGCCTTGGAGCTCGGAGAGGAAAGTTCTCCTTTCACTCCGTGGGACCCTGGAACCATTTCTGAGGGTTTTGTATATTTTATCTTTTGTATTATTCCCCTGGTCTTTATATATATTATTTTCCTTACCTCCCTTTTTTGTTTTCTCTTCCTTGTTGAACAATATACTTCATTTTTTTCTAAAAAGTGTCTCTCTCTCTCTCTCGAGGGGGTGGGGGAGAGGCGAGTACATAGTTCTGTTCCATGTGGGTCCTGCCCTGAACCCCTTTTTACACGGAACCAGGACAGAAGGATACTGCTAAGGGGACATAGTAGCCACCAAAACGCTGGGCACTAGCCACCTTTGCATGCAGCAAGGACAGTGTAGCTCTGCTCAGTCCTTAACACTTGTGAATGAGAGCACCACTTTCTTCTGAATCCCTGGGGCTGGAGACTCTGCCACACCTGGGCAGAGCTGTGTCTGAGGAGAAGCAGGCTGTGCAAGGACACACTGCACCTATGCCACTCTTGCTTGGGCAGCACAGATCAAGGACTGGCAGTAAGGCATGGCCAACATAGGCTCAGAAACCTCTCTCCCATCCTCAGAGCAGGACTGTGCCACAGGCTTCCAGGACCACGCTGCCAAACCGTCACTGAGTCCACTGAAGCCTATGGGCACACCCTGAAAAGCACAGGAAACCAACAGGAATCAGCATGGAGGCAAGTGAAAATGTAGTGAAATTCTGCCGCTCTTCAGGAGAGGCTGGGAGTCAGGCAGGACCCCAAGCCATCTCTGCCACCCAGCAGCAAAGCACCACAGCCAGCAGGCAGCAGTGCCAGGCTTCTGCTGGGTTACTCTCACAACCTGTGCTCTCGGTTGCACGCTTTCAGTGATGTAAAACCCCCACCAACTCCTGCAAAGCTGACTCATAAATTCTTGCAAAGAGGGTATGAACTCCCCTTTGGGCCAGGGTGGGCTTTGAATGGAGGCCTTCCAGTCCCAAGTGCTCCATTTGGCTGGTACGGAGCAATGGCTGCGGATGGAGCTCACCTTGGCAGGGCAGGTGAGGACAGCAGCTGGCAGAAGCGATGGGAGCCTTCATGCCTGCATGGATAGAGGTAGCTCCTGGTGCATGAGAGAAGGGGTCTGCTCCACCCTGAGTCACCCTGCCCGTTTCGGTTGTCTTCTGTCACTGTTCAGTATCAGCCCTTCACGCCCTGCCCTGCATGGACACTATTCACCCAAGGCTGCAGCACCAGCCTTCCCTCACCAGAACGAAGCCTGCAGGGCTTGTGGGAAGCCAGAAGCCCACCCTAAATAGCTCCTGCCACCACCCAAAGCACCATTCCCAGCTAGAGCACCCCGGGGCACCTGCAGCTGCTTCTGCAGCATGGTGGACATTACCTCATCTTCCAGACACAGTGGCTGGCCCTGATAGTGTTTGCCCAAGGAAAGTCGACCCCATGGCCTCGCAGGAGCGTCATTGCCACTAGTGTTTTGACAAACATGTGCCATGTTGTCCTTAATTTCATTTAAGGTCACTAAAAATGGACACCACAGCCACATATCTCATGAACCATGAATTCCTAGAATCTCCCTAAGCCTGGAGGATGAGGGAAAGCTTTTTTTAGCAAGCATCCCCTGCGATCGGCCCTTTGAACTGAGCACAGTGGGTGTACCGAGTGTCTGCAAAAAGCTGAGACACACCAGACCAGCTATTGGTTCGGGGCCTTGTCCTGAATTGTCAGCGTAATTCAGACAGGGCCTCTCCTGCTCCAAACGCAAGGGGGCTGGACCCTGCCCCCACGCCCAGCTGCAGAATCAGAGCACAGAGCTGCTCTCTCTGTCTTCTCCCGCTGGTTCTGATGCCCAGCTGGGAGCAGAGTGCAGGAAAACAACAAGCAGTGGCCCACAGGTAGCCCCTGCTGCCAGCAAGTTCCAGGCATCTGCTGAGCAGCACCCTGAGAACACACTGCACAGACTGTGTCCCTCTGCACGCAGCCACTGTCCCAGATGCCCTGGACCAGGGCCCTCCAGTACACCCACAAGCTGTAGCGTCATTCAGTTTCTCCTCAGCCCAGCAAGGGTTAGGAGCTAAAAAGACACACATTAATTACTTTCAGATCTCTAGATGATTCTGATCCATGAACAACTCAACCAGCTACAAGAGCCATCACTGTTTGGAAAGGCCCCGCTTTTCATTATGACAGTCACACTCTTATTTCTAGCGGTTCTCCATCCTCATATGAAAATATCTTTCAAGCAAATAGTTACTGTAAAATCTTATCAGAAGGTAGCCCGGAGCAAGGGCTGGGATATAAAACTGCCTGTTACACTGCAAAGCAGGAATCCTGAGGGACTCGGGGAGTGGATGAATCTGCATATCTAGAGCTCTTGGGTTTTTCTTTTGGCCTTAAGGGCCTGCATGGTATTTTTCTGGCTCAAGAAAAACGTGTACAAACCTTTCTATGTCTAGACTTGCCTGTGCTTCGGAGGCTCAGAATGTTTGACAAGCTGTATGAACAGGGATAACAGAGCTTCATGCAAATGAAAATCAGCAAGTGCCATGATAGTAAAGCTCAAATTTCGTCTAGAAATGACAATGGGAGTTGCATGAGTGGGGCACTGCAGGTCTTTCAACTCAGCCATGGAAATGCCAAAATTTCAGCAAGTTGAAGAAAGATTACTGCTTTTATTCAATCATAGAATCATTAAGGTTGGAAAAGGCCTCTAAGATCGTCCAGTCCAACCATCAATCTAACACTACCATGACCACTAAACAAGTGGTCCCCAAGTGCCACATCTACACATTTTTTTAACCCCTCCAGGGATGGTGACTCCACCACCTCCCTGGGCAGCCTGGGCAAATGTCTCACCAGTCCGGCAGGAAAGAAATTCTTCCTAATATCCAGCCCAAACCCCCCTTGGCACAACTAAAGCCCATTTCCTCTTATCCGATCGCTGGTTACTTGGGAGACGAGACCAACCCCCACCTCACTCCAGCCTCCTTTCAGGGAGCTGTAGAATGCAAGAAGGTCTCCCCTCAGCCTCCTCCAGACTGAACCATGCCAGGTCCTTCAGCTGCTCCTCACAAGCCACGTTCCCCAGAACCTTCACCAGCTTCATTGCCCTTCTCTGGACTCTCTCTAGCTTCTCAATGTCTCTCTCATCCTGTGGTGCCCAAAACTGGTCCCAGTGCTCG